CTTGCCATTCGAGCAACATTCGGGAACCGCACCGCATTATTTTTCCACCATGTGAGGATATCATATCCTTTGTCAAATCCTATTGGGTCCTCGTTTAAGTATCGTTGCAATTGAATTTCTGACGAAGTCGAGGGGAAACTTCCCAAAGTCATATAGCTTCCAAAGAATTCATTTTCGTCATCAAAATTAACAACTTCTTTGGGAGTTTCTTGTTGAGACGATGAGGTCATGTTGACCTTTCCAAGTATGTCTTGAAAAACTTATCCAATTTGCATTCGATATCAATAACCTTTGCACGTGCTTTGGATTCTATCTCATCAACGGACATCTTTTTATCTTTGTTCTTGGCTTTAAGCATTTGGGTAAAAACAACTTTCATAAACTTTGACTTGCATTGAGGATCTAACAATGTCGCAAAGAAGACATAATCACTTATAGTATCATAGTCACCCCAATATTTGTCATATTTATATTTCATATCTGGTACCATAAACATAAAATCCGGGTTGGTTTCATGTTTCCTAAGATGTTGCTCTATATCTAGGATCCCCCGGGTATACGTATGGAAGATAGGCTTTGTTGAACACGAAACTTTTTTCAGTTTTCTTCTTAAACTTCTCAAGGAACTCCATCATCTTTTTAATCATCTCAAAATCTGAATGTGATGGTACCCTTCCCACAGTTTTCTGAAACATTGGATCTACAAAAAAGAACAAAAAAATCAGATTAAGTTTTATTGTTGTTAGAAAAAAAAAAAAAAAAAAAATCAGATTTGACACCCTTCCTTGCGGGGCTTGTAACTCATTTAATTTTTAACCAAATCAAGTATTTTTATAGTCTAAATTCAACTACAAATCCTAATTACATGTAGGAAAAAGATTCAAGTCAAAACAAGTTAAATTAAATGAGTTATGCACATTTGAACAACAAAATCAGATCACGTTTTATTGCTGTTAGAAAAAAAATCAGATTTGACATCCTTCCTTGCGGGGCTTGTAACTCATTCAATTTTTAACCAAATCAAGCTTTTTTTATAGTCTAAACTCAACTACAAATCCTAATCTACATGTAGGAAAAATATTCAGGTAAAAAAAGTTAAATTGAATTAGTTATGCACAATTTAAAATTTAGACAGATTGCTAAAGAAGTAAATATTGCTAATTTTAGTACTGAAATATATTTGATTTTATTTACCTTTGATGGCTATATTCAAGAAATGCGTCTTTCACATCATATGCTGATCTTAGAAATTCAAAGGTAGAGTTCCACCTTGTTGGAGTTTCACCACACAAAAACCTTTAACTTTCTACAGCCTCATCCTTCATGGCTTGTTTAAAGGTCTTGATCCGTTGCGGGGAGGCTCTAATGTATTTCACCGCATCTTGTAGGTTTTTTACATGATAAACTTCGTGTTTTTAACCCCATTTTCACAACTAGGTTTATGATATGAGCCATACACCTAATGTGAAAATGTTTTCGATTCTCATAAATACCCGGTAGTTCTTTCACAATGATGTTGATTGCCACGTCATTTGTCTTAGCATTATCAACGGTCATCGTCATGAAATTCTTCATCCCCCACTCGTTTATGCAAATTAGCAACTCCCGGGCCATGTCTTCAGCTTTGTGAGTATCAACCTCTCTAAAGTTGACTACCCTTTTGTGCATGACAAAATCTTCGGTAATGAAGTGGGCCGTGACAACCATATAATTTATCTTTTAACACGAGGATGTCCACGTGTCGGTTGTCAAGTGGATGGTTGTTTTGGGGTTGCTCAAATGTTTGTACAACTTCTGCCTCTCCATTAAATAGAATGACACAACATCACGAGAAATTTTATGCCTTGAAGGCAATTTCACCCTACCATTGAGGGCGTTTACAAATTCTATGAATGCCTCGTTTTCAATGAATTTAAATGGTTGTTCCCCGATGGTGAAAAGGCCTAGCAAGGCAAGTTGGATCCTAGTATCATCATGTTTCCATGTGTATGCATGACCCTCACCATTAGGAGCTTTCGTAAATGACAACTTTTGTTGTTTGTCATCAACTTGTTTCGGTATGTTGTCTGGATTTAACTTGCACCCATTAAAATGCTTGTTTATTGAAGTTGTCCCATTCCGGTTTGGATCCGCAGCTAGTAAATGTAAACAATAATTACATTCCTCCCACTTTCTTTCGATTCCATTGTCCTCCTTTATCCATTTGATCTCGAAGTATTTCCAAACAGGAGCGGTACAATTATCTCTACCCTCACCTCGTCTGGTTGGGTTAATCCGGTCCTTTAACTCCTTTTGAGTCTTTTTTTTGTTTTTGGGTTTTGGTTTTCTTGGGTATTTTTCTTGTGTTCGCTTTTGTGGTGGTGGTGGTTTTTTTTGTTTGTGTTGGTTTTTTTGGTTGTCTTTGTTTTTGTGGGGTTGCAAAATTTCGTTTTTTTGAAGGTTGTTGTTCTTGTGGCTCCTTTTCATGGTTTGATTAATCACTTGGTATAACATTCCATGCCGGTGTTTCTTCTATATAATCTTCTTCTGAATCTTCTCCATAATCCTATGTTCTCAAAATAAAACATATAATAAGTCATATTACGTTTAAATGCTGAAAAAAAAAAAAATAAAAAAAAAAAATCAGATTTGACACCCTTCCTTGCGGGACTTGTAACTCATTCAATTTTTAACCAAATCAAACGTTTTTATAGTCTAAACTCAACTACAAATCCTAATCTAGATGTAGGAAAATGATTCAGGTCAAAACAAGTTAAATTGAATGAGTTATGCACATTTGAACAACAAAATCAGATCACGTTTTATTGCTGTTAGAAAAAAACAAATCAGATTTGACACCCTTCCTTGCGGGGCTTGTAACTCATTCAATTTTTAACCAAATCAAGCGTTATTATAGTCTAAACTCAACTACAAATCCTAATCTACATGTAGGAAAAAGATTCAGGTCAAAACAAGTTAAATTGAATGAGTTATGCACATTTGAACAACAAAATCAGATTACATTTTATTGCTGTTAGAAATAAAAATTCAGATTTGACATCCTTCCTTGCGGGGCTTGTAACTCATTCAATTTTTAACCAAATCAAGCGTTTCTATAGTCTAAAATCAACTACAAATCCTAATCTACATGTAGGAAAAAGATTCAGATTAAAACAAGTTAAATTGAATGAGTTATGCACAATTCAAAATTTGGACAGATTGCTAAAGAAGTAAATATCACTAATGAGCTAAATGCTAATCTTACTTGGTCATCAAAGTCTTTTCCAATCCAATTAGCCGGATTACCATCTTCAATATTGGCATCATGAACATCCGAGTTACTGTATCTTGATGATGGTACATTTGGTAACCCATCCAAATCCTACATTGTCAATTTTACACATTAATTATATAACAAAAGTTCTAAACAATTTCGTACTTTTGACAATCTTACATAATTACATTCATACTATAAACAATAAACTAATCTAACAAAAATCTTGCATGTATGTCTACAAATTACATTGTTAAATGGATGCTATTATTTGGCGAATCATTGAAGCAAATATTGAAATATATAATCTTAAAACATGAAATATAAATATATGCACTTACTTGATCTTTATGAACATCCATAGTTTGAATCATTGAAGCAATTGAAGATGAAAATCAATGAATGATGATGAAGAATTGAAGATCGATTGAAACTTGGAGATGGAAAGTTGGAATCGATGGAAACTTGGAGATGAAGAATTGAATGATGATGAAGAGATGTTGATCGATGGTAGAATAGCAAGTAGGGTTTGAACAAGTCTTGGGGAGTTGCGATCACGATCACGATCGATTTTTGTGGCCGTGGGTTTCTTTCACAATCACGATCGACTTTTTTTTTTTTTGTTAATTGACTTACGTCCGACTAGATCAAGCAGAAGTCCAAACGACAGTTCCATCGGGGAGTTGCCATGGGTTTTTTTCTAGCCGGGCCGATTCCCAGTTTTGGGCCGGTTCCAACAGCCGATTCTTACCGGGTCCCGGTTCCAAATAATCACGAAATTAGAGTATAGGTCCCGACCCGACCGGTTCCATCGGTTGCCAGTTCCGGGACCGGTTCCGATCGGTTCCCCGGTTCTTTTGCTCATCCCTATAACAGACATGTAACTGATAAATCGACGTCTAAGTAGAAATTCTTAATTTTTTTAGCCATTCGATTGAGGTCAAGTGACTAATCAGCACCTAGATGGATATCCTTAATTGTATCTGATTTTTCTAAAAAAATAATATTACATATCTTCTAACAAATTTAATAATACAACAGATTTTATTGCTATTTAAATATTTTGTTAGAATATAAATAATTTATTAAAAAATTATTCAAATATTTATATATTCTAAGAAAATAAATCTTTGAAAATTGAAAATTTTGATGTAATATTTGAAAATTTTAAATTTTTGAAGAACTTTTTTATATAATATTGCCGGTAAACATAAAATTGTCCCCACAAGTATAATTTAGAAAATTTATTTTATACCATATCTTGGCGGATTTTATTAATATTAAAAGAGAAACATAATTTTTGTTAAATTTTAACCACGCTAATATTATTCAAAAAAAAGGTGAAAAAACTGTTTAAAAGTATGCGCCTAAAACATTATCAAGATTTAGTGATTTACATTGGTGGGAGCCATTCATTTTTTATTCAAATCTTTTCATATATTTTCTAAAGAAGTCTGTTAAAACTCACACAAATTCTTTAGAGTAATTAACATATAAAGTTAATTTACTTTTGGTTAAAATTTGTTTTCAACATTAACATGAAAATCAATTAATATATAGTAATTAATAGTCCCAAATATAATAATGAATTAATACGATTTTCTGCATACAGCATTTCACATGTACAATATTTTAAAAAAAAAAAAAAAAACGATTTATTAGATATAAATAAATAATATTAATCATATGTATAAGTATAAGACAATGTATAAGTTGTCATTACCAAATCCCATCATCAAACCTTTTGGTTGCTATATAAAATATAAGAAAAATAAATTAGAAGTTTAACTCTTTAAATGAAAATTGTGATCAATGAATATATTTCATATAAAACTTGATCATTATAAGTTTAACTTTAAATGAAATAATTTTTTTCTAAAAACCCATCCAAACACTCTCTACCAAAAACATTATATCATATTCAAATGTAAACTAAAACCGGGAAAAAATATATTGGTTATTCTTGCATTTGATAACATGGTTTTTACTCGAAGTACACTGAATTTGACAGCATGGTAGATGCTATTTGATCATCCAAATGGAATCCCATATAACCACTTTTTAAGATAGGTTTGAGCCGCACACAAAGTAAAAAACATATCGTAAAATTTACCATAGATGTCTAATGAAATGATGTTTTCACCCCTTGGATCTCTAGAACTGGAATGGAATGAATGCATGAATAATCCATATGTTGATATTTTTACACTATAAATCCACTGTTACTTTACGTATTTGCAATCTTCTACTAAGTGCCATGTATGAACAAAAGGGAGTTAATAATCTACAATTCAAACTTATTGAGCACTAAATAGCCAAATCCAAAATATCATATCATCATCTCTTGACTATGTCGCTTTAGCTTTTATTCATACACCTATTAAGTTGAAAAAAAATGGAAACATGATCAGGTTGAGGACGGAGAGCTTGGCCGAATCCATAGACCTATTAGGCTGTAAAAAGAAAAAAAGTAAATATAAATATTAGAGAAAATTGTAAATTTAGCCAAAATACCTTAATTACGTTGTGGAAAATAGCCAAAAAAATTGAAATTACAAATTTAGCCACTGAAATTGCAGATGGTAATAGTCCATCTGCGATTTTGCCATTCCATCTGCGATTTTATGTTCCATCTGCGATTTTGCGATTTCATCTGCGATTTTCTGTTCCACCTGCAATTTTGACCCGATTTTTGTATAAAAACTGTTTTTTCCTTCATTTTTCTCTCTCTCTCTCTCTCTCTCTCTCTCTCTCTCTCTCTCTCTCCTCTCTCTCTTCTCTCTCTCTCTCTCTCTCTCTCTCTCTCTCTCTCTCTGCTCTCTGCGATTTCTTCAATAATCCAAAAAATATGGTATCTCTCTCTCTCTCTCTCTGCGATTTCTTCAATAATCCAAAAAATATGGTAAGATTTTAACTTATTTTATGTTTTAATCAACATTTATTTAGTGTATGTTTATATTTATTTGAAACTGTATTATTTGTTATTGGGTACTTGTGTTTTATTTGATAGATATAATATTGTTTATTAGTATCCTTGAAGTTTTTATGATATTTTATTAGTGATTGTATTAATATACAAGTATAAACTGTGTAGAATGTGCATTACCTTGTTGTACATTTAGTTAAATGGTTAGAACATGTTATTTTTTTTAAGTTGAAAGTTAAATAAAATTGTTACAATAATGGCTATAATATGTTTGGTTAGTGGTCATTTGTATATTTCGTATAACTTGAAAAATTGTATGTAGTATGTAATTGTTGTTTAAGTTTAAAAATTGTTACAATAATGGTTACAAAATTTTATACTTGTCGTATAACTTGAAAATTGTATACTTGTCGTATAGTTGTCATATAACTTGAAAAATTATATATACTTGTCGTTTAAGTTTAAAAATTATTATAGTATTTTTTTTTCAACGTAAATGCATAAATTATTTATTGAATGTTGGTTTTTGCATTGTTTATGCTTGTAATTTGAATGTTGGATTATTTTTGTATTATTTATTTCATTTAATTTCTGAATATTTTTAAAGGAAATGGTTGTTTACTTTTCAAATATATTGTTGTTAATGTGAATGTTAAAGCTGTTGTGAACTTAAAAGGATGTGGTTGTAACATCTGAGAAATATTTGAGGTGTTAGATGGTGTTAGACGCGATATTTTTAGACAAACTGTATTTGGTTATTTGTTGGACGTCCCTAATTTACAAGGGGACGGGTTGCTGCTCCACAAGATGTTTCTTTATCAGATACGGTCGGACGTTGTTTTATCCCCAGATGACATAAACCGATTATATTTTAGAGTGGGGAATACGAAAATGGTATATGACCCGGAAGAATTTTGTTTGATAATCAGGTTTAATTTTGGCGAGTATCTCAAAATGATTGGCAAAAAAGTGTCAGAAAAAAAAGTTAGTACTAAAAAAAGATGTTTGTTATGTGAACGTCTATTTCCGAACCATACAAATAGTTCGACAAAAATCAGTGACCTGAAAAGTTTTATTTTAAATCATTCATTCTTAGAAGCTAGCGACGATGATGCAGTTTGAGTCTGTCTAATATACATTTTGTGTGAAAGATTTTTGGGAAAAGAAATAAACGATCGGGTGCCACAAGACTGTTTTTTTTTTTTTTTTTTTTTTTGAGAATTTGGATGTGTGGAACATGTATTTTTTTTGTTTACTTTGAAAGTTTCATATTATTAATGTTAATGTATATTATAATTAATATCTTTTTTGGTAGTTTTGCTTGGTGTAGCTATTTATGGGATTTCACCTAAGACGACCTTGAGGATACGTGTAACAAGATAAATAAATATTTTTCACTGTCGGGGCCTCGTCAAACATTTAAATACTTTGTTTCAGGATTTACGATCCCATTTAGGGTATAAAAATTTATTATTATTTGTGACATTTTATTGGTATGTTAGTTATTTTTATTTTTATTTTTATTACTATAATTGTGAAAATTGTAGATATAGATATATGAGATGTTTCCAGCTGTTCATAGTGGTGGATTTGCGTTGAGAAAAAATAAAGACACACCTCGGATGAAACGATAGAGTGACACAAAAAAATTGAAATTGGTTGATGTGAGCAAAAAAATTTCAATGACAAAGGTTTATAAAAATTATTTTTATTTTAAAAAATTCCTTATTACACTTTGTATATGCATTTTTAATATGTTAACTTTTTTTAGGAGGGACAACGACCAAGAAATAAAATGTCACCTAGTGATGATGAGATGAAATCTTCTTATTATATGGCATGGGAAGAGTATCTATATGGTGAACGAAATTCGGTTACATCCCCAGTACGGGACCATTTTAGGAGACAAGACGAATCTTCGTTTAGTATATCGTCTAGTGGTCGCTCTCACGGTAGAGGTGGACGTAGTGGGAAACCTAGGTTAGAGGAGGTGTTGAAACGGCTACATGCACCGGAGCAACAAGTGTTTATGAACCGAAAACCTACTGAGATATTTGTAGAAGAAGTGGATAATGAAGATATATGGAAGAACATCAGTTTTGAAGAACCTGTAGTATTCCAAACAAATTTTGGTGAACCGGTTAGTTACACGCTACATTTTTTATATAATTTGTTTACATATTTGAAAATTTTTGTTAATATTATATAGCTGAAAATGTAGGTTGTAGAAGATGAAGGGATGAATAAAAATAAAACAAATGAAAATGTTTTTTGTGATATTGAAAACGACAATGTTATTATATATATTACAATTACGTTTTTAATTGTTAAATGTTAATGTGTCTTTCGTAAATAATTATAATGTCTTAATTTTAATGTAACGTAACTAAGAAAAACAAACAACTTAACCAACATTCATATTAAAAGTGAGGGACATGCTTTAAAAGATTCCATGTATCCCCATAGGTAAACTCCCTACCATCATATTCGAAACGGTATAGTTCCATAGCCACCTATATGAGAATGTCTTCATCCATATTTGCATGTTCATTATCCAGCTCGTTATAAATACGTTGAAAATGTTTGACCTTTTTTTTCAAATCTAGAAACTTCGCTTTGACATCTCTTCTTCTTCGATATTGAGTACGCCTTATTTGATGGTGAAACAAATGACATACACGAGACCAAAATGATCCAGCGCGAACTTGTAGCGGACCCGGTGGAAAATCCTTTTCTACAGTTACAATCCAAGCTTGAACCAAAGCGACCACCTCTTCGTTGCTCCATCTAAGTGGTACAGGTGAGTCCATAGATGCAAGGTGAAAATGCAATGTGATACAATTAAAATGGATATCAACAACAATTTATAGCGACTACTTATTTTCCCGGTGCAATGGCTTGTCAACTCAAGTAGCAGTGTATTGTGTTGTCATTCGATG